GTCCTGGAAGCGGAAATGCAGTGTACTTAACCCAGGTCATCAGACCACCCACAGAGGCTGCAGGTGCCCATAGATGAGCGGGGGAGGCCGGAAAACACCCTCACTGCAGGGGAGAATATGTAATTTTGACACTGACTCAAGTATAAGCTGAGGGGGGTGCTTTTTCAACCAAAAATGTGCTGAAAAACTAGGCTTATACTCGAGTATATATTTAACTTGCATCCAGCAGCCAGACAGAATCCCCCTGGCAACCAAGGATCCTGTTTTGTTTCCTGGAAATGACTCTTCAGGGACCAAGAGGATAGATGTTGGGGGCAGAGTTGGAAACACTGAATGTTGTTCAGATCTTTGGCTAGCTGAGCACACACACACACATTCAAAATGAATATTGCAAACACAAACTTTACAGAGATATTTTTCTTTACAGCAAACACAAATGTTACAAAAATGTTTATAGTGTGTTTACACACTATATAGTTTATATAGTGTTTATATATGTATAGGGAAGCCGCCTAGAGTGGTCATAAGACCAGATAGGTGGGATATAAATTAAATAAGTAAATAAATAAATATAGTTATATAGTTTATATAGTGTTTATATATGTATAGGGAAGCCGCCTAGAGTGGTCATAAGACCAGTTATATATGTATATGGAAGCCGCCTAGAGTGGTCATAAGACCAGATAGGTGGGATATAAATTAAATAAGTAAATAAATAAATATAGTTATATAGTTTATATAGTGTTTACACATGCACCTCATTTAGAATATACAGTACCACCAGATTATCTATCCACCAACAGTTACAGTGATATAAACACAGCAGGAAACTGGATGTGTCCATTTGTACACCCTAAGTTCTTTTCAGCAGCAGAATACAAATATCTCTTTGAAGCCAAAACACAAAGTGCCAAATCTGTTTATCAACTGGGGTAGGATATCTATAAAATTGTCATCCTAACTGCATGCCATCAAGTTATGGCGAGCCTTTCCAAGGTTTTCTAGAGACTACTTATAACTTACATACAGAACAGCACTGTTTCCAAAAGCGGTCAGAAACATTCGTGCTAAATTCCTGAGAGCCATCGTGCTCAATCTGTGACTCCCAAATATGAAGGGTGTCTTATTATTTTAAATGTCTATAATATCATGATTTTACTCAATCACACAGTGGTGCCTTGCTTAAGGACGATAATCCGTTCCAGGAAAACCTCTGTTAAGTGAAAACATCGTAAAGCGAAATTTAAAAACCCATTGAAATGCATTGAAAACTGTTCAATGCATTTAAATGTGCTAAAAACTCACCGTCCAGTGAAGATCATCCATAGGGCGGCCATTTTCGGTGCCTGTATAGTGAGGAATCTGTACCTAAGCACAGTGGGGAGCCATTTTAAGCACCCAGCAGCCATTTTGAAAACCCGACAACCAGCTGTTTTTGATCGTCGTAAAGCGAAAATCAGTTCCCGAAGCAGGGAACTAATCATCACTAAGCGAAATTCCCCCATTTAGACCATCATTTTGCGA